CAGCATGCGCTTTCAGAGTGCGGTGGAGTATTGTAGCCCGTGAGCACTACAATGAGTTAGTTCCTTCTTATCTGTTAGAGGCAAGGTCGTTTATCAGATAGAACACTAAGTACTGGGTTCACTGTCTCGCGTAAGTCAGTTAGCTGCAATCCGTTAGAGATGATTCCCGCACCGCACCCCACAGAGGGAAGAGCCCGCGAGGCGGATGCAGACGACAACCTGATACTGTAGTTTACCGGGACCGGAGCCTACTCTCGGGAGTACTCTGGGGGGGTCCAACGGTTGAGCAACCCAGAATGCCCCAGAAATATGCTTCACATAATTTTGGGTTGTCTATGACAATCTTTCCTTACCACGTGATTTGTATCTACCGCTAGCGTATTCCGTTCTCGTGTCGGTTGTCTATAGCACAATTCATGCTCGCCAGTAGCTACAAAAGGTTACCCACCCTTTCCTATTTGGTTTCTACATGGATAACGATATTAAATGCATGCGTGCATACATATAGTTATACCCTATACATCGTTTTTTACCTCTATAACTGTTGAATTACTCACTTCTAAGCCATTCTGGACCTGCCGTGGTGAACCCCACGGCATTCATTACAAAGGGGTCGATACAGAGACCAGCCGAACCATCCAACAGTGCCGGGGTGATTGTTCAATTGTTCCATCGGNAAAGGGGTCGATACAGAGACCAGCCGAACCATCCAACAGTGCCGGGGTGATTGTTCAATTGTTCCATCGGTCAAACATCAGTGTTATAAAAGTACTAACAATGAATTGCTTTTTTATCCTGAATTGTTTTTACTGCATGCTGTTCGTTGCGGCTTTAGGGCCTTGACGTTTATATGAACTTGCAGCCACTGGGAGCACAATTCTACCGCAGCATCGAATGCCAGCACAACGTGTGCTGTATAGTCTTTAACTTCTTCTTATTCTGTTCATGCTTAGATAATCATTTCGACTGTGGTTTTCTGCATCGGCGTCACTGAGTGGAAGTTTAGCCGCAGCTGCATCGTCGTCGCGATTTGAAATTTCCAATGCCACTTGCTTCCGGAGCGTGAGGGCGATTCCGCCAGGCAGTAGGACAACATTGTTTTCATAGAATTAATGCTGTTTCGATCTCTTAAAATCTCCACCAAGCACGGAATTTACTTTTTTCAGTCTGAGGTTGCAGACATTCCAACGATCACTGTCGGGGTGGGTGTGGCTAAACATTTCGCTTTAGAACGGGTCAGCAGGCTCCATGGCGGATCCCTGGTCGCTGAAAGAAGAACCTCTTTCGCCGCATCAGGCTGCCTCCCACTTGCATTTATACTTTTCGAAGGGGAACCACAATGGAAATCTCCAAGATGCTCTCCCTCGCCCAGCTTATAGATTCTCCACCGCGACGCAGACGAAGGCACTACAACTACTAGCAGCCTTTGCTGCAATCTCAGCTGTGGCATTCCTTGCCTATATTTGCAGCACGTATATTAGAAGAAGAAAACCCTCTCACTCAATCGGGCGCAAACTGGCTGCCGGCGAGGACGGCGAAAAAAACGACAAGCCAGAATCGTGCAACCCAGNTACACCTGAAGATCCTTACTCAACAGTGAATCCAGGTTCACATGCGTCTTCTCCCGCCGAGCCCGAGCAAACCGAGTTGGCTACGCCCCCGTCGGCGCCAAGAACCGATCCGGCTTCCACCGCACAGATTCCGGCTGCAGCGATACCACAGCTAGGCACAGGTGGAGAACAGAGGGGTGTTAAGAGAAAGGAAAGGGCTGATGCCAGTAAGGATAGCGGGACGAAGGTGCCCAGGTTGGATACATCGAGGCCGGTGACTCTGCTGGAGCTGCTAGCAGCGCCCAGAGGTGCAGCTGCTGGTCCCCCTACTAGTCTTCCTACGCGTAAGAGCGAAGGTGAGTTATGCGAAGAAGTTTAGTGAATTGCTGATGAAGCAGCCTATTCAGAATCTTGCAATGTGAGCGTGCGGTCCTTACGCGGAAATCTGCGGGCCACCGGAGCCTACCTCCGCATACTCAAACAAACCAAATATTTCCAGACAGTTCTGAATATTTCTCTGCAGTATACAGGATTATTTCGACTGTATACAGCCTTGCCAATATTTTCCTGTTGTTTGTTCTCAGAAACTCCCCCGGAGGCTGGCGGTCCTTCACCGGATGATTGGCTATCATCACCGAGTGATGACGAAGACAAAGAAGCGGAGCAGCAGCAGCATGTGGGGGAACGGAGATGGCAGCCTTCTGCTTCACCAAGTACAAGCAGATACGGTAGGGCACAATTTGAGGTGACAGGAAGAGGCCAGGTCCCGTTTCCTGATGAAGGTGAAGAAGAACCGCTTGATTTAAGTCTCCCTTCCAGCCGCCGAAGAGCAGAAAGCGCTTTTTATGAAGCGTCATTTCAGGTGGGTTTCTGGATAAATTCGACGAATGTTAGCAGATTAGCCTTACCGATCCAGCTGCAGTTGCCCCTTGGTGCTGCTGTTGTGACGAACGATTGACTGCTGTGTTCTCAATGCGTGCTGTGGATCAGCGTCCAGCCGAAGCATGGTTTCCAGCACATGTACCTGGGCCTTCCGGGGCTCCTGCGTACGCAGCGGCAGAAGGCGAGCCACATCCGTCTAGCCTTCGAAGTTTGTTAGAGCCAGCGCCAGCGCCCACGATAGCCGAAGAGGGCATGCTTTTCAATTTGCTGCAGATGGGCATGCTAGCTGAACGGGTGGGCATTTTTCTGTGTTGCAGCACCCTCGGAAAAATCATAATGTTGGATACGCATACGGTAGTTGCTTGCTATTGTATTCATCAGTTGCCTGTGCTGTTTGCGTAGCTAAGCTGGCTGAGTTTCCGTTCTTCCAATGGAAAGTTGCAGTGTGACAGAAGGACTGTGGTACTCTTTGCGCAATTGGCGTTTGTGCAGGCGGAAGCCGCAGTTGACGAACTCACGAATTCATTTGAATGGCTCAGGGATATGTTGAAGGGTGTTTCTGATGAAATGCTTCAAGCCCACCCATTTTTCCGTTACCCTAAGACTGATCTAGGGATCATCAGTAGGATTTTCGACGAAAGAAGAGCACGTTTATTTCGTCCGTTTCATCAAAAAGTTGTCTCGATGCTTTCGATGAACAGGGAAATGTTCAAGATGCAGCGTCTGAGCGCGACAGAGGGTAACATCCTAATGGACAATATGGAGCGCCTATGCGGGTATGCAACGGGCATCATGCCGACCAGTGCCACGGCGAAATCTGCCGTTGAACGTTTGGGAAGGGCGTTTTTTATTATCGATTCGCTATACTGTTCAGCAGAAGTGCTTGGACGGAGCGCCAGGAAACATGTGTGGTGGCCGTGGATAGCCAACCATATAAAACGTCTAGTGCATTGCCCGCAACAGAGGAAATCAGGTGACGGAGGGAACACGTGGTGTTTTCCCATCGTAAAGGGGCTTAATGCTGCGCTGGACTACTACAGGAGAGGGAGAAGACCTCCCGCGCGTCTGGTGGTCACCTTAAAATTGGCACTTGTAACAGCACCCAAGGCGACGGAGTTCAGAGACAGAAAGTGGGACCCTTGGAGAAAAGACGCTAAAGATTGGCATTTCGCCAACTTGCAGAGCCCAGAAAAGAGCGATGAGTCAGATAAAGAGTGAACACGTTGCCGGTTTTTTGGAATGAAGTTCGTGCACTTCGGAGCACAGATGTGGGTCAGCTCATGTATTCGCTGCACCCACAGGAGGCTAAGGTAAAAAGCTAAGGAATATATCAGGAAGGCTGCACGGAGTTGTAATTCGTTTCTCTTCGGAAATGCGTGGGCTTAAAGGGACCAGAATGATAGGTATTAATTGTTCAAGCACCTGGGTTATTGATACTGCAGTATTGGAGGCTCGGATTGGCTGAAGAACGTCTTCTTGTGAGGCCTGTGCAGAGTATGTTGATGTCCGTATATGATCTAGAGCCCTTTAATGATAACTCTGGAAGGGCTAGGGATATAGTAGGGATATGAAAAGGGCGCATGTGAAGCAACGGAATAAAAAGGCGCCGGACTGGATGGTCAACCAGCAAGATACAGTGCCTCCAGTTGAGGGCAGAACCGAAGTATACAACCAATGAATATCCGAGTTCTAATGAAGGCGCCTCCCGTTCCGACGCACTGGAGCAGGAGCCGACACTCGCATTGAGTTACTCTCGACGACTGACAAATGGGCCGGTTGCTGAGGGCAGTCGGAAATCCCAATGTGGAACTCCTTCTCCGTAAATATGTACAAAATGTGCATCAAATGCGCTTGGTCTGTGTTCATTTGGTTGTGCTTTCCAGCGTATTTAAGTGGTCAACAGCAGTTCGTCCCGATCACCTGGAGCGCTGCAGGTCTTACTTTATTCGCTGGGGTCGATCCGTCGCGTCGATCGGCGTGTACAAGTAAGTCAGAAACATGTGTAAAGACCCTTATTTGATATACTTTGTTGACCTCCAATACCTGTTTATGCGGCGCTTCACTGCGCATTTCCAGCTCCGTGAATCGATGACGCCCCGTCTCGCCCGCCAGTTCGTATCGGTGGGCCTTGGCGTTTCGGACGGCACTTATGAAAAACTCATGAAGTGCCTTCTTACGTTGTAACCAAATAAACAAATGTTTCAACCTGACCACGGCGGTGCCTTCGCGAAGGCTGCTTTTTCTTACGACTGCCGCCGCCACTGCCGCAAGCTGCATACTGAGGTTCAGTAGGGGACCTCTAGGCTTGCCGGAGGAGTTCGGCTCTTTCTGGTTCGAATATATATAAATGACTCGAGGAAGTCTATATATCCTCGCGTTTCGAAGATAAATAATTTATATATATGAGCAAGGTCGAATTACACAGCCAATCTCCGTCAGCCTGTCTATAGCTTAAGGGTCACCCCCTCAAACCCTTCATACACNCGAATTACACAGCCAATCTCCGTCAGCCTGTCTATAGCTTAAGGGTCACCCCCTCAAACCCTTCATACACGCGACACTTCATAGGGGAATCACCGAAAATCCTTTTGCGATTCGCAATTGGTATGTATCACAGAGGGAACAAATGCCGCTTCCAGGGCCTAAGATGAGAAGGAAGACAAATGTATTAGGAGTGACCCATATACCGGTTATGGGTAGTGGGGTTGTGAAATCCAGCCTCGTTCAGCAAGAGATAAAAGAGGGTAGAGAGCACGATAAAGTGAGATTCACTCACTTATAAAGCCGCGAAAGTATCAAGCAGTTAATCTACTTCTTTTCGAACAAGCAAGGTCACGCTAATCAATATTCGTGTCAGCAACCACAACCAAACCAGCTGTTGCGCTCGCTCCGCTACAGTAGGCAATCATTAAACACTTACTTGGCCCTCAATAACCAGCCTTGAAGCAAGCAAGAATAAATGCTCGAACTTCACGCAGACCATGTAGCGTGGTCTGCCTGAAATTCGTAGGCGACCGCCTCGTTCCCTGCAGGGTGGCTATTGATGGTCAAGTAAGTGTTCGTAATGACAATTTCTCGACGAGGTTCGTAGTGGTTGCTTGTGCCCGTAGACGCAGCAGACGTACGATAAAGCGGCTTTCACGAAGGCCGCCGCCGTGGCCAGGATGCAACATGAGCTCGTTTGGTTGCAACATAAACAGACGCTTTCCTGTGTAGCCATAGATGCGGGATTACGGACAAAAGTGCCAAGGCCTGGTTCAGACCTCTGGTGCAAACTGGAAAGACGGAACGTCATCGATTCAGGGGCACGGCAACAAACAAGGATTGGAGACCAGCAACGTGCACCAAGTAAGAATTATAAAAATGTTTTTCGTTAAGTTCGAGATGTTGATCGATGCGAAGAATCGACACCGGCGCGTAGAGAAACTCTCGCGACGCCAGCGCGCCAGGTGATCGGGATGAACTGCTGTTAACCCTTCAAATGTACTGGAAGGCACAGCCAAATAAACACAATCCAAGCAGTTTTTATGCACAATAACGCACGAGAAGTTCCACACTGGCACTTCTTACTGCCCTCAGCAACCGGCCCATTGGTCAGTTGTGGAGACTAACTGGTTGCTGAGCGTCGGCTCCTACTCCGCAGCGTCTCAATGGGAGGCGCTTTCACTAAAATTCAGATTCTCATTTGTCACAAACTTCTGTTTTGCCTTCACCTCGAGGCGCTCTATCTTGGAAGTTCGCCATCCAGCCCAGGAAACTTATTTGCTTGTTTCAGGCACGCCCTCCGCAGATCCCTTGTCATTCCTAGGTTTTCACCACAGAGAACTAATTCATATAAGGACATCAGCATATTCCGCGCAGGCCTCGCCGGAAGACGTTCGTCAGCCAGTCCGAGCCTCCAAGACTACTGTATCAATAACCTAGGTGCTTAAACAATAAATATTTATCATTATGGTTTCTTTGATCCCGCATATTTCCGAAGACAAGTGGAAAAGAATTACAAATGCTCGAGGAGTTCTTGCTGTCCT